GTTAAAAAATGAAGTTCAGGATAGTTAAGCACCTTGGACATTACTCATCCCTGCCATTTTTGCACTAGACTTTTAAAAATATGATTCTAATAGCTTATTGCCAAAAAGTCTAGTTTGGTCTTTTTATACAAAATAAACTTTTATAAATAGAATCTTGCCATCTCATTGACTTTTTGGTTTTAGATACATTGTGGTATTTCTCATGGATCTTACCATGATGGTGTGTTCTTGATATTGTTTGGCTGTGTCCCCACCCAAATCTCATCTTGAACTGTAGCTCCCATAATTCCCACGTGTTGTGGGAGGGACCCAGTGGGAGATAATTGAATCATGGGGCCAGTTTCCTCCATACTGTTCTCATGGTAGTGAATAAGTGTCATGAGATCTGACAGTTTTATAAGGGGAAACCCCTTTCATTTGTCTCCCATTGTCTTCTTGCCTGCCACAGTGTAAGACGTGCTTTTCACATTCTGCCATGATTTTGAGGCCTCCCCAGCCACATGGAACTGTGAGTCCATTAAACCTGTTTTTCTTTATAAATTACCTAGTCTTGTGTATGTCTTTATCAGTGGTGTGAAAACGGACTAATAGAGTAAATTGGTCCCAGGAGAGTGTTGTGCTGCTGTAAACGTAGCCAGTGACTTTAGAACTGGGTAACAGGCAGAGTTTGGAACAGTTTGGAGGGCTCAGAGGAAGAAAGGAAAATGGGGAAAAGTTTGGAACTTCCTAGAGACTTGTTAAAAGGGCTTTGACCAAAATGGTGATAATGATATGGACAATGAAATCCAGGCTGAGGTGGACTCAGATGGAGATGAAGAATTTGTTGGGAACTGGAGTAAAGGTGACTCTTTCTATGTTTTAGCAAAGAGACTGGTGGCATTTTGCCCCAGCCCTAGAGATATGTGGAACTTTGAAATTGAGGGAGATGATTTAGGGTATCTGGTGGAAGAAATGTCTAAGCAGCAAGGCATTCAAGAGATGACTTGGGTGCTGTTAAAAGCATTCTGTTTTAAAAGGGAAACAGAGTCTAAATGCTCAGAAAATTTGCATCCTGAAGATGCAATAGAAAAGAAAAACCCGTTTTCTGAGGAGAAATTCAAGCCTGCTGCAGGAATTTGCGTAAGTAATGGGAACCAAATGCTAATCCCCAAAACAATGGGGAAAATGTCTCCAGAGCATGTCAGAGACCTTTGCAGCAGCCCCTCCCATCACAAGTTGGGAGGCCTAGGAGGAAAAAATGGTTTCATGGGCCAGGCCCAGGGTCTTCCTGCTGTGTGCAGCCTAGGGACTTTGTGCCCTGCATCCCAGCTGCTTCAGGCTAAAAGGGGCCAAGTTACAGCTGGAGCCATGGCTTTAGAGGTACAAGCCCCTCTAAAGGGGGTAGTACCTTCCATGTGGCATTGAGCCTGCAGGTGCACAGAAGTCAAGAATTGAGGTTTGGAAACCTCTGCCTAGATTTCAGAGAATGTATGGAAATGCCTGGATGTCCAGGCATAAGTTTGCTGCAGGGGCGGGGCTTCTCATGGAGAACCTTTGCTAGGGTAATGTGGAAGGGAAATGTGGGGTTTAAGTCCCCACACAGAGTCCCCACTGGGGTACTGCCTAGTACAGCTGTGTCCTCCAGACCCCATAATGGTAGATCCACTGACAGCTTGCACCGTGCACTTGCTGCACTCACCACCAACTTGTGAAAGTAACTGGGGTGGGGAGCTGTATCCTGCAAATCCAGAGGAGCAGAGCTGCCCAAGACCATGGGAACCCACCTCTTGCATCAGTGTGACTTGGATGTGAGACAAAGAGTCAAAGGAGATCATTTTGGGGCTTTAAGATTTGATCACCCCACTAGATTTTGGACTTACAGGGCACCTGTAGCCCTTTGTTTTGGCCAATTTCTCCCATTTGGAACAGCTGTATTTACCCAGTGCCTGTACCACCATTGTATCTAGGAAGTAACTAACTTGCTTTTGATTTTACAGGCTCATAGGCAGAAGGGATTTGTTTTGACTTGCTTTGTCTCAGATGAGACTTTGGACTGTAAACTTTTGAGTTAATGCTGAAGTGACTTAAGACTTTGGGGGACTGTTGGGAAGGGATGATTGGTTTTGAAATGTGAGTACATGAGATTTGGGAGGAGGGGCCAGGTGTGGAATGATATGTTTTGGCTGTGTCCCCACCCAAATCTCATCTTGAATTGTAGCTCCCATAATTCCATGTGTTGTGGGAGGGACTCAGTGGGAGCTAATTGAATGATGTGGGCAGTTTCCCCTGTACTCTTTTTGTGGTAGTGAATAAGTCTCATGAGATCTGATTGTTTTACAAGGGGTTTCCCCTTTCACTTGGCTTTCATTCTCTCTCTTGCCTGCCATCATGTAAAACGTACCTTTTGCCTTCCACCATGATTGTGAGGCCTCCCCAGCTATGTGAAACTGTGAGTCTGTTAAACCTGTTTGCTTTATAAATTACCCAGTCTCAGGTATGTCTTTATTAGCAGTGTGAAAACAGACTAATACAGTTCTAACACTTTGTTTAATCTGTTCTTTGAATGGATGTAATCCATAAACAAATACCTTGCATTTCTTGAGACATCACCTATTAAATAAACATGTTTAGAAATGAGAAATAATCTTGCCTCCAGAATCCCTATTTCCTAATTTATATTTTGGGTCACCATGGGTTTCTCATATCAGATTTTCTTAAGACATGCTCCTCCTGTACTCTAAAACACACTGAACATGGAAGACTTCTCAGACTCCTTGGTTAAACAAATATAAGGGTACAACAAAGAATAAGAGCCACTGGTGCACCTCTCCATCTGGCAGCTGGAAGCTTGGCTGGGGTCTCTCACAATCCATTTCTTAAAGACTATTTGTTTCTTATTTCCCACCTATTTCCACCCATGGGGATTGGGGAGAGGTGGGGGTGGGTGTGATTGGAGAGATCAATGGGGAATCATGTATACGTTTTTTTAATGTCACAGCCTGGAGCATGGGTGATGATAATATAGCATAGATGAAAATGCCAAAAACTTGCTCAGGGCACTGACAGGAACATTGTTTATAATGAAAAGAGCATGCTATTTAGGAATAGAGAGGCCTGGGTTTAAATCCTAGCTCAACCCTAACACATGTGGGACCTTGACTTAGGTAGGTTTACCTCAGTTGAGCGTCAGTTTTCCCAACAACCCTATGAAATAGGAAATTATATCTCCATTTTACAGATGCAAATTCAAACCATAAGGAGATACCATTACATATACACTAGAATGACTAACATTAAAAAGACTGTAAAGACCAATTGTTGGCAGGAATGTAGAACAACTATAATTATTATACACCGCTGGGAGGAGTGTAAAATTGCATAACTACTTTGGAAAAATTATTTGGCAGGTTCTTAAAAAGTTTGAAATGCATCTACCATATGACTGAGCCATTTCACTTCAATATATTTTCTCAAGATAAATGAAGACATGTATTTTCTCTAAGAATTGTACATGAATTTTCCTAACAGTTTTATTTGCAATAGTCCCAAACTAGAAACAACCAAAATGTTCATCAACAAGTGAATGCATAAATGAATGTGATGAGTGCATTACATAGACTAGAGTACTACTAGCAATAAAACGGAACAACTACAAATACATATTGTAATGTGGATGAATTTCAAAACAGCATGCTGATTGAAAGAAGCAAGACAACACATACTCTGCAATTCAGTTTACTGAAAACACGTCTCATCTATAGTGTCAAAGAACAGATCAGTGGTTGCCTTGGGGTGGGAGTAAAGAAAGGAATGGACTGCAAAAGGATACGAGGCATTTTGTTCTGTAGCTTGATTGTGATGCTATTCTCATGGATGTGTGTACGGTTGTCAAAATTCTTCAAGTGGTGCACTTTGAATGAATGCATCATTGTAATATATTATTTCTCAATATTGTTGATTAGGGAAGAAGATAAGTTGTTTAAAGCAAAAATAGCCATGAGGTTTATAACACATGCAGAAGATATGTATCTATATATATAATATGTATATATATCTTTATATATAAAATCTCAACAGTAGCAAAGTGGATGGGGGAGTGGAATTGAGGTATACTTTATTGTTGTAAGGTACAGAATTTCCAAGGGAAGTGGAATTAAAAAGTTACAAATACAAGAGGCATGTGAAACTTTTTTTGTGTGTGTGGATAAAAGAGAATAATTTGGAACATGATCGTATGTGTGTAGACCAGAATAAGAGGAGAGTTGAGCCTAAGGGGCCACTTTGTGCAAGTCAAGGAGTGCCTAGACAGATGTCAGCGTGAGTAGTGAGGCCTGTAAATGGATTGGAAGAAAAGTAAATTTGAAAAGAAAGCAAAGGAGAGGTTTTCCAATGGGAGAGCGATGTGGTGGAGACTCATGGTTGCAGGTACAGTCATGGTGCAGGGTGACAGTTTTGACAGACCCATGAAGACTTTGGTAGACTTTGGAGAAGCAGGTTTAACCTTGAGGTCTACAACAGATGCCCACAAGCCTCTGCTATTCCTGTGGTTAGTGTTTGCAGGTATAAATTTTTTCGTTGTATTTCTTTTGACCTATTTGTCTTTGTATTTTGAGTGGCTTTCTTGTATAAAGCATCTAGCTGAATCTTGATTTTTTAAAAAATCATGTCTGACAATCTCCAAATTAAATAGTACTGTTTAAACCATTTGCACCTAATGTAGCTATCAACAAACATAGAGTTTTAGAATATTATCCTGCAACTTCTTCTCTATTTATCCCATATGTTATTTGTTCCCTTTTCCCTCTGCTCCTGTGTTTCATTGACTAATTGAATAATTTTTAGTATTCTGCAGGTAGTGTCTTAAATGTTATCTTTTAGTGACTATCTACAGTCTAAAATATGCATCATTGACATCATATTCTTTCCTCAAATAGCATTATAGCACTTCACAGATAATGCTCCTTCACACATGTGCTGGATGTACCGCCACTTCCATCACACGTCTCTGCTTTGTCCCGCAGGTATACCGGGGCCCTCGTGGATGAGGATGTCTTCCAGGGAAAGGAGCTGGTCAACAGTCACTCACTGCAGGCTCTGGTGGCGGCGCTGAAGGCCTACAGCACCTGGGAGAACATCTGCTGCCTGCAGGACTGCCGCAAGTGCATGGTGAGCCCCAAGGCCTGCAGCTCCTGCGGGTCCCCACGATACAACCCACCCTGGAGGGGCACTGTGGGGTGGGAAGAGAACACACTTCAGAGTTGAATAGAAATCCCAACTGCCCATGACTCCGGGTTCCTTCCTTACCAGCCTTGTAGTCTTGTGTGTCTCCCTCATATGATGCTGCCAGGACTGATAGAGAACATGTTTGTAAAATGCCTGCCTGGCCCATGGAGGCACGCAATAAACATCATGAAACTTGCTGAGGCAAAGGTAGTAGTAGACAGTATGGGAAAGGGCCACTGAAGGTTCAGATGATCAGAGCTCTGCTCCAATGTTTTAATCCCTTGGGGAGAACACAGGAAGTGACCCTGAGGGTTTCCCTCAGGACGCAGGAGGCAGAGCATTCAGAGACTTCCTGGTGTGTCCCCAGCCCCAGTCTCAGACTGGATTGTGCGGTGAGAAGCACAAGGTGTGAGTAATCTAATATTTGTATTTGAGGGAGTTGAAGGGGACTCTGAGAGCAGCTGGATCTATGTGCGACCGTGAGAACAGAGGCCCTGCAGGACTCTGCAGGTCTCCACAGGTGTCCACACCCATGTGAGGGTCCAGAGCCCATGACAAAGTGAACCCAAGTTGGGTGTCTGAGAGCAGGACATGTAGCATGAGGCTGTGGACCTGTGACGAGGTGGCACGGCAGAACTGCAGGATCAACTGTGCACTTCATTCGAATGCAGGCCAGATGTGGCAGCTACTGGAACTCCAGATCACACCCCCAGAGGAGAATGGAAAGAGGGAGCCCCTGTTGGTCTTTGGTCTGAATTTAATGCTGAACTTCATCGAATATTTGCTTAAAAACAGCACCTCTGAACGTGAAGGGGAAGACGAAGACCCATTCTCAGTAGAGAATGGGTCAAGGGCAAGTCAAGGGCAGCTGTAGAAAATAAAAAGGAAAGGATGAGTTTCTGGAAAGCCGATTCCCTGCCGTCCGTATGGAGCTAACGGACCGCACAGAGGGGCAACGGTGAAGAGGGGCTGAGCCTTCATAAGAGGCAGAGGTGCGGGCAGAGCCTGAGGGCCTCTCCCATGCGATCCATGGTGTTTGTCCACCTGAAAGCCAGTGTGATCATTTCTTTTAGGCGGCTGAGTGAAGATGTGTCCCTGATGATGATCGGGGGTGGGGCATGTCTGCTTCCTTCCTATGGCGATGTTGTGTGGGGTCCACATGGAAAAGAAAGGGAATGGAGAATAAAATAATAGCTGGCCTAGGGTGCAGCTGGCCAGGAGCTGAGGTCCTCCAAGGCAGCTGAGACAATGGCACGATGTGACTGTCCTTAGCTAAGGAGGGCCCTGCCAGGGGGCTGGTTTCTACCTGTGTCTCCAGGAGGTGGCTGTCCCTTCAATCCTCAGGCTGGGAGCCGCAGGGAACACAGCCCAGGGATTCGGGGGTAGAGTAAGAAAGTTAGGTCAGCAGGCGGGGGTATGACCTGAAGTGGCCCCGCAGGCAGGGGCAGCCCACACAGTGGGGGGTTGGGGCACTGCTGGGGGCCCTGAGCCCAGACACTGTGGCCTTGACAGGTGACTCAGCCTGCGGGCTCGCTCAGATCCCCCTGCAGGCTCCTGGTCCTCTGGGCTCCCGTGGCTCATTCCCTTTCTCACAGTTCACAGACAGGCAGGCCCAGGGGTATCTCAACCCCAGGCCTTCATAGCCTCTGCACAGAGACCCTCCTGTGCCCCTGTCATCCTAACCCTCGTCCTTCCGTCCTGGCCTCAGTGCTCATTCTGGGAGGCCATATTTCCCCTGGGTCCATGCTGAGCCCTGGCAGTGCCACCCGGAACAACCACCCTTGCCTGCTCTCCAGTGATCCAGCCTGTCATGTTCACCCGTGCTGCCGAGGACCACCTAGCAGTGCGGAAATGACCCCACACTGTTAGAGAAGACGCAGTCCATGCTGGAATGCCAGCTGCCCGGGCACGCTGCCTCACAGAGCTCTGCGCCCCGGAGCTCCTGAGCAACCTGGGGCAGAGGGCCCTAGAAGGCAAATGCTGTGTCCTCTGCTCACAGTATTTCTGACACCAGACGTGTGGCTTTTCCATAACAACCGGTTCTCTAATTCTCTGTGGACACCAATGGGGTGCTCTACGACAGTGGCCTCCCAACACTTTTGGCACCAAGGACTGGTTTCGCGGAAGACAATTTTTCCACGGATGGTTTTGGGGGTCGGGGGTGCGGGGTAGGGGAGATGTTTTTGGGATGAAACTGTTCTGCCTCAGATCCTCAGACTTTCGATTCTCATAAGGAGCGTGCAGCCTAGATCCCTCACGTGCACAGTTCACAATAGGGTTCGCGCTTCTGTGAGAATCTCATGGTGCCACTGAACTGACAGGAGGTGGAGCTCAGGCGGTCATGCTCGCTCCCACCACACCTCTTGCTGTGTGGCCTGGTTCCTAACAGGCCATAGTCTGGTACCAGTCCGTAGCCTGGGGACTGGGGAAACCTGCTCTACAATTTAATTTATTCTGACAACGACTACCTGGAGTGCATGCAGACTCCGCAGATTAAGGCCTCAGTTCCATAAGTCTTCCCCCACCTTTGGATGCTAGTCACCAATAATGCTTCTCTGAGTTACCTGCACTGTTATTATTATTATTGAAACAGGGTCTCACTGTCACACAAGCTGAAGTGTAGTGGCACAATCACAGCTCACTGTAGCCTTGAACTCCCGGGCTCAAGCAATCCTCCTTCCTCAGCCTCCCAAATAGCTAGGACTACAGGCACATACCACTACACCGGCTAATTTATTTTTTGTTGAGATGAGGATCTCACTATGTTGCCCAGACTGGTTTCGAACTCCTGGCCTCAAGTCATCCTCCCATCACACCCTCCCAAAGTGCTGGAATTACAGGTGTGAGTCATACCGTGGTCTACCCACACTTTTGCCTAACTTGTCTATAAATCAGGAGTTCCCATGACCCTCTCCTTAGGTTCAATAATTTGCTACAACAGCTCACAGTACTCAGGGAAACACTTAAATGTTTACTGGAAATAATTAAGGATACAGATAAACAGCCAGATAAAGAGATACATCGGCTGAGTCCAGAAGGTTCTGAGCACAGGAGCTTCTGTCCCTCTGGAGTTGGTGTGCACTGCTCTGCTTGGCACGAGGATGTGTTCAATAACCCTGGAAGCTCTCTGAACCACATATTTTAGGGATTTTTTTTTTTTTTTTGGAGATGGAGTCTCTCTGTGTTGCCCAGGCTGGAGTGCAATGGTGCAATCTCGGTTCGCTGCAGTCTCCGCCTCCTGGGTTAAAGCAATTCTCCTGCTTTAGCCTCCTGAGTAGCTGGGATTAAGGCATGTGCCACCATGCCCAGCTAATTTTTGTACTTTTAGTAGAGATGGGGTTTTACCATGTTGGTCAGGCTGTTCTCGAACTATTTTAGGGATTTTTATAGAGGTTCTATCACATAGGCATGATCCGTTATTAACTCAATCTCTAGCTCCTCTGACCTTCCTGGAGGATGGCAGGGGTTTCAGGGAGGGCGATAAAAGCTCTGAACTTCTAACCATGGCTTGGCATTTCTGATGACCAGCCCCCATCCAGAAGCTGTCCAGTAGCCCACTAGGAGTTGCCTCATTAGAACAAAAGATGCTCCAGCACCCAGGAAATTCCAAGAGGTTTAGGAACTCTGTGTCAGGAACTGGGGTCAAAGAGCAAATTTAGAACAAAGAATGCTTCTAGCATCCCTGTCACTCAGAAAATTACAAATGTTTTAGGAGCTCTGTGCCAGGAACCAGGGATGAAACAAAATGTACATTTCTTATTAGATCACAAAATCATGGCCCTGATTTCCATTTTTGTTCCTTCCCTTCTCCTCCCCACTCCCAATCCACTTGACACCTAGCATGGAGATATTTGTAGAGGCACAAATATTTGTTGAAAGAAAAGAATGAGCATCTTCTAATTGTTTTAAGCTCATATGCACACACGCTGCATCTTCTTCAGGCTGGAACTCCCTGGGAGTGAAGTGTGGACTTGAGTCTGGGGGCTACTGAGAGGAAACTGAAGACCATCTCTTTTTGTGGCTTGTAGGACTAGGCACATCTTGCTTCAAACAAATATATTTCAGCACACATTTACTGCCTTTGAAGCTAGTAATCCTGGGCATGACTTTGGGCCAGTTATTCCCACCCTATGCCTCAGTTTTTCCATACATAATGTGGAGATAACAAGCCTTCCCTTGTAGAGGTTGTGGGAGTTAAATTCTATGAGACAAAGAGCATAAAATGCTTAACACATGGACTCCAGAAGTAGGAGTTGATGTTTCCTTGATGTGCCCAGGCTGGGGATTTGGAGAAAAGACATACCACTTGGTCTCTTTTGCTTGCCATTGTACAAGGTAGACAGGTGGCTGCAGAGCCCAGCACGACGAGGCAGGCCCTGTGCAGCTGCAGGGGCTCGGAGTACTCAGTGTGAACTATGGAGGGTCCCCAAGCAGTGCCACTTGAGCAATTTAAGGAATGAGCAAGAGCCTTCCAGGTGGGGCTGGAGGACCTGCCAGGCAGGGGAACCTGAACGCAGGATGAGGGTGTGGGTGTCTGTGGTGCACTGAGGGACACCATGACAGGCATGGGCTGGGTCTCAGTGAGGGTGCAGGGGAGTAAAGGAATAAAGGGAAAAAGTGGGAACCAGACCTAGAGAAGGCCCTGAGCCTGTCTGCACAGCTGACTGTAGCAGGCATTATGTGGTGCCTTCAGGCCCCAGCACCACATGGTGCAGCTCATGGAGTACATGGAGGCTCAGCCTGCAGCACTGCAGCATGGTGCGTGGCACATATGGACACTTCATGTCAGCTATTCTCACTTACTTCCATTTTAAAAATGAGTAAACTGAGGCTAGACCATGAGGGCAGTGAGGGCAGGAACCAAGTCCTTGATCACTACAGCCTAAATCTGACTGTTGTGTAGAATATTCAGGAGGTAGCTGTGGACTGAGTGATGACCAGCT